GGAAAGTATAAGAGGTGCTAGATCTCTGACAGTGATCAAACTGGCCTTTTTAAAAAGGGTTCAGGGAGCTGTGCATACTAGTGTTTAAGGGAACCTAAAGCTTAAGAGAAATCAAGCTAAAGGAAATAAATCAGAGAATCTGGAAGAAACACTCTCTCCTTTTAAGCTACATGAGAACTTTAAGGGAATCTGTGGCATCCAGGTGTTTGTTCCAGAAGCTTGCCTTCCCTGAGCCTTTGGTATGAGACAGTAAGGAGCTGGACTCTATTTCACAGGTGGGAGATGGTGACAAATAGTGTAAGAGACACACGCCTTTTTTTTATCTGATGAAAATGTGGTAGGTTTTTAAAGTTATTTTTTTAAAGCCACTCCCAAAGATTTCTCAGAACAGGATTTTGCAAACAACATTCTACAAAGTGTTTTCATAGATTAAGGATCTACGTTGGGTGCTGTGTGGCTCAAGTGGTCCATTGAGGGATATTGTTAGTGCTTGCTGACCTTTTGGTTTTTGGGAATAGGTATGCCAAAATGTTTCTAGAAAATTTGTAAGTTTTCACTTTTTAAATATACATGCACAAATATAAAGTAACATACAAATTAAACAAATATGCTTCTTGGAATATTTATACAAAGCTCTGCCCTTCAAAGTAGTCATCTCAAGAGACAATATGTGGTATTCTCATGTCACTGCTACTGACACAAATATTTTTTGAATTCTTTTTGTAGAATTACCTTTAGAGTCGTAAATGAGCTCCACAAGAAAGAGCAGCTTTAATCTGACATGGCCGCGTCTCACCTGATAGCCTAAGTGGATATCTTAAACTGGATCAACTTGTGCATTTGAATTTCAGGTCATTCCTGAGTGATCTCTACAGGATTTGTGACTGACCTGGGTGAAGAGCTGGTCATAGCCTTCCCCCATTTTCTTCAAGTGAGAAGATGAGGGAAATGATTGGCCTGGAGCTACTTTATCTTAAGCCAATGTGGATAGTTTGCAAGTTGTTCAGAAGTAGCTACCCTACTTTCCTGAATGAGTATCCACCCAGAGCTGCCCCCCAAGGGAGTACACAAGCTCACGCTTTACAGGATCCATTTCTGGAGCCCTCCTGCTGTGGAACCAGAGAGTCGAGAATGGCGATATTTTAGAATTGAAAGGGATCCTAGAAATCACACCTGCCCCCTCGTTTTTAGGATTACTCACTCCAGTGCCTGAAATGGGGTGAGATGGTCCCTACTGCCCCAACTTGGAATTCAGAATGCCTTTTCTATAGAAATGATATAATGAATAGTGATTACAAGTGGTTGATGGAGACTCCAGCTCCATTTCTAGGTCACAAGCTTTTGTGGGCTAGCCTAGGAACCTACTGCCTTTGATGGCATATTGGTGGGGAAAAATTATTCCAAGGTTTACAAACCATGTTATATGTCATGAAGTCTTAAGTCGTAAAGGAAATGAGAATGGCAGTGTAAGTTCTGTATATGGGCTAAAAGGTAAATCAAAATATATTATCATAATTTCTCTTATGCTGATATTTACTTTTTTGTCGTGAGTGATTGTGCTAACTCCTGTTTTGTGTAAGTCTTCAGAATTTTATAGAAGCGTTATACCTTCAGAAGAATTGTCCTTGAACTTCCTTTCTAAACTAATTTGTTCATATAATGTCACTATTTCTTAACGTTACCTTTGGTTATGATAAATCCTTCTTCTGGATCAGCTTTTGTGATGAGATTCAAAAGAAAATATGTGCTTAATTAAAATAATTCACTTTTTTATGTTTCCAGGGAGCTCAAGGTTTGAGAGGCATCACCGGCATAGTTGGGGACAAAGGGGAAAAAGTAAGATGATGATGACAATGACATAATGTCAATGTTTAAAATTTTGGCCATTTAAAAATAACTTCTTCAGCAATATGACTTTTTATTTGCTTCGTAGATGTGTGGTTAGGTTCTTACATTTCTGTTGTAAGTACAGATGGTAGGAATGAGTGGTACACATGATACTTATCATGTATTATATACTTTAAATTATCTTGAGTAAATTAGAGTAAGTGGATTGCTATCTCTTATATTTTTATCATTATTGATAGTTAGCACTGATAACACTGCCACAGTGCCTGGGAAGACAGGGGAAGGCAGGAAGGGAGAGATGAGAGAAGGCAGGACACCCCCAGGGACACTAGGGCCAATCTATAGGCTCCAGAAATACAAAAAGCATCTTTGCCCACTACCACTTCTGACCCTGGCCTTGTTCTCTTTAGAGCCTTGATAGATAGCTAATTTGTGTCATTTCCACA